TTGGTTAGATTGTCTTCATAGTATGGTTGTTCTATAGTGAATGTAACATATATAGACCATATATGGGAACCTTCATATTAGCCACATGATTTCTCTAAGTAGCAACTTCACTTAAGTTTAATGAAATGATCATGTGGCTAATGTGAAGGTTCACATGAGGAGTCCATAGATGGCACTCTATAGAATTTCACCTTCATAGTGAGCCCATTTATCTCTGTAATGGATTTTTTCCGTTCTCTTTTCAGGCCCAAGAGTTTTATAAATTTCTAAAAACAGTAAAAAATTTATCCCTCGATTTTAAGTCTCTATGTATAATTTTGTATTAATTTCTGAAAAATAAAAAAAATAAAAAAAATCCCTTCATTTTAAGTCTTTAGTGTATATATATTTTTTTAAATCATACAATCGTATTATGTTCTTAATTATCATATTAACTCACCTCATTCAATCACAAGTAAGTTTATAAATAACTAATCCAAAATGTATGTTAATATACACGCGCAAGAAGAAGAAAAATTAGAGTTAGTAATAGTAGCTCATGCTTTTCACTTTCAAGTTGAGAGCTCCATCTCCAAGTAGGTCTTGCTATTCGTTTGGCTCTCCTATTTTATTTTTATTTTTATGTGGATAGAACAACAACACTTGATCATGAATTTCGTTTCAATTAGTTGTGTGGATGATTTGGAATGATTTGGATTTCGTGAGTTTAATTCGATCCATGATGAGTTTATTTAGCTAGTTGATTTGATGATTTAACCATCACAAGAAAATGAATCCCGACCATTATGTGAGAGAATGAAGACCATGTGTGTTGAAAACCAAAGCCTTGGCGCACAAACCCTTTCCAGCATTCAAAGCTACTTAGATGAGTGAGAGTTTTGTGGTTTACGGAGTGTATAATTATTTATTAATTTTGGCGGATTAATGAAAATATTTATATAAAATATTGGTTTTAACACAGTCATCACCTTTTAGCTTTATCATTTGGTAAGCATAATTAATTAAATTAAATTTGTTAATTACTGAAGTCACCCACCATGGCATTCTTTTTGTCTAAACCACGAGTAGAGAGAGAGAGAGTAGGAGTTGCCGCGCGATTTGCGGTGGTGGCTAGTTAGATTGGGTCAAAATAGGTGTGAATTTGTAGCTCCAATAAGTCCAGTTTTTTGGACTTTTGTTTGTTTTTTGCTTCTCTAGCAACATATTCCAATTTCCAGAGAGCAATTTTATCAGTTCAAGTATGACAACAATGCAAGTGCAACATACAAAAGCTAGGAAGGTATTAGTTGTTGGCCCTTCTACTTAAGCACACTTTTTCCATAGAGTAGTTGTGAACATAAGGGTAGTGCCTCTAAATGAGTTACACAAGGAGCAGAAAACTGGTTACATTTTGACATATTCAAGACTGGATTAAGAAAGAACAAGACCACCAAATTGTGGAAACTCATCACTTCTTTCTAACCTAGTGTTGAGGCCTAAAAAATCCACGATTCGGCCCAAATAAATTCTCAGCCCAATGCGATACCTTATCAAGAAGAAACCCGATTTGGGCACGCGAAAGTTCGTCATATACGCTTTGCACACATGTCATGCCAAGCAAATAAGCAACATGCCACACTACAAGCTTAAGTGGGCCCAAGCCATGCAAGATGCCCAAGGCTTGCTTGAGTGAGTTGTGGTATGGATGATAATAAGTTGTCATGAGGCCCATTGATGGGTCGAGAAATGGAGGTTCCGGGTTGCGTGGGAGCCTCGGAACCCAAGCCCATTTCTTAGGCCCAAATATATGGGTGAGTACAAAAGGGAAAATAACCCAACCAAAAAGCCCAATCAAAATGGTATACTAAAATTAAACCTTATAGCCCAATATTTGATGAAGATGGCCCATTTGTTTGGTAGGTTGACTTCCTATCCTAAAAAACCCATACAATTAGAAGTAGCAAGCAGCAAAGACTCCATCTTTTGACTGAAAGATAAAGCTACAAAGGGGTTTGGTAAACCACGTGGATTGCTGATATTGGAGCGCAGATCACCCTTTGAACCAGCATGCATTGTAATAACCCAAACCCAAAATTAATATTTAATTATTAATTTATTTGAGAAAAAGACTAAAATACCCCTAGAATATTTTATTAGTTTAAAAGTTGGTTTTTTGACCGGGAAGAAATTTTGGGATTTCAGTTATACCGTGGCGTAGAGCACGACGAAACGAGTCCGTAGACATGTATTAGGCTCGAATCGGAATTATAATGAAGAAATTACAGTCAAAATACGCTTAAGGGCAAAATGGTAATTTTGGGAAATCAGGATTTTTTTAAAAAAACCCTCAGCTTCTCTCTCTCCCGTCGCGATCCCCCCCCCCCTGTTTCAGTCCGATCCGCCCTCTCCTCCCAGCCACCGCCACAGACCACCCCGACCCACCGGACCGGACCCAGAACCACCGGCGTCACTCCGCCGACCTAGCCCAGTCATCTTTCCGCCGCCTGCCGCCTCGAACCGTCGGAAAAACCATGGTTTCCGACCGGTTTTTGAGAGAACTTTGGCCAGCGGTTTCTCCCTCCTCCGGCCACCAATCCGGTCGTGTGAGGTATGAATTTCTAGCTATTTTTCATGATCTAGCTGATGGTTGAGTAGGATTTGAGGAATTTCTAGCGTGAGAGGGTTAATTTCGAACCTAGGGTTCGGCCGGTTTTGAGATCACGGTTTCAGCCACTTCCGGCCACTTTTTGGGGTAGGTCCAAGAACAAAAGTGGTTCCAAATAGGGTGTTTTACCTAGGATAGGAGTCTTGAGCCGAGATGTTGAGATTTTCCGGCGAAGCGTTATCGCTTTAGGCACCACGCGCTGCCAGCGCGTGTGGCGGCGCGTGGGCAGCAGGGTGGGGACCACAGTCAGTCCTAGAATGATCTCCCAGTCCTCACGAGCGCCTAGGATTTCGCGGATCTTAATTCGGATAACGTTTGAACCCCGAACGGATCTCGCCTAGTATGCGATTTCCGGGTTTTATACGTTTGAACCGTTGGATCGTAGTCAATTTCAAGTATGTTGATCTAGGTATTTCCAAGATCGTATAGTATTTGACAGATCGTAAAACGGAGTCCCGGATACTCCAGAAATGTCAGCCCTAGAGTATGTTTTACGGATAATTAAACCAGTTACAAAATAACGAACTAGTTGCAGGTCAAGAACAGAGGAAAGAACTACGTGTGGCTTGATCCCTCAGAAAGGGTACGTAGGCAGCCTACAGTTACCAGGCGCAGCCACGAGATAGGGCCCCAGAGTTTGTGTTATCGCTTCCAGGGCATTTTGATCATTTACGACCCACATGCACTAGGTGTCAGTTTTAAACAGGATTCGGCCCGGATTTCAAAGTGGAAATTGGGTCGGGTCGTTTCATGCATACCCATTCTCTTTCCCTCATTAGACCTGGCCATAAAAAAAGGAAGAAAGGAAAGGAAGGAGATGGTTGAAAATAGGAGTCTAAAATAGCCGCGGAAAAAGGGGCCTTGAGCTCCCAAAAGTCTCTGATCTTGTGCAAATGGGCATAGTGGATTTCACCAAAATATGATGATTGAAGAGATGAGGGAAGAAATGAAGGAAAAGACTTGGCCAAATTGGATAGAAACCATTAAGGTTTCTTGGAAAATGATGGCTTCCAGCGGCTATAAAAGGGGGCCTTTTCTACCCAATAAGCATCAACCACATCAGAGAGCAAGCTTCCTTTCTTAATCCAAAAACCCAGCAATTTCGTGCTTAGCTCATCCTTTTCCCTTAGTTTTCCCTCTTGGCAAGCTGTTCTGACACTTGACAGAATCTTTGTCAAGCTGCCGGAAAAACACTCAAGCCACCTTTTTCTCTCTTTTTCCTCATGCTCAACCAAACCTCTCTGCAAAATCCTTTCTCTCCAACCTTAATACCCCATCTTTCCCCTAGGAACACTTAGTTTTCTCTTCAGTGCTAAACTTTATGACAATTTTGCTCCCATGCCAAGCTAGAAAATTTATCTGTAAGCATTAAGAAATCATCTGTAAGTTGCTATTGTTTTGGTTAGTGAAGATAACCAAGATGCTTCCTAAGGCTCTACTGCCCTTTCTAAGCATTTTTGGGGCTTGATTTTCGAACTCAGCCTCAAGGGGCAATTTCATCCATTTTTGCTATTTACGGCAGCCAATGCCCGTAGTAGCTGCCGGAACGAAAAAGCCCCTACACCTAAAATTTTGCCTTTGAAGGTTAATTTCCTCCAATAACCCAATAATAATAATTGAAAGTCTTGATACCATAAGAACTTTACATTTGTAATCCTCCAGTATAAACCTACCAGTTGTAGTTCATGTTATTCAACACACAGTAATTATCACAACCCCAAATAAGTGAATATTTTCTTAAAATCTTACAAAACACACTTTGAAGAACATGTCATGCCATCATAGTGAATGTCATCTTCACCATGTGGTTGGCATTTCCTAACTACTAGGCTTTTCTTTATTAGAAAATTAGTTAGAAATCCAAATGTTCTAGGGTTTATTAGGAAAAACCCACACGTAGTCTTTAATTTTTCATGTAAATCTAATGACTAGCCTTTCACGTCAACAAACATACCATAATGAGATGATGAGTCGATCAATATTTATTATTCGAATTAGTTAATTTTTGTGTGTTCCTATTTTACCCCCTTGAACGCTTTTTTATTGACCCATTATTGGTTATGGTAATAAAAGCAAATGTAAATAATAACAAGGGAAATTTGTATAAATATTGTTGAACTTTTTAGGCACGTGTGTGATAACCACTTAACCTTTTAATTTTTATCCTTAACCACCTAAACTTTTAAATTTTACTTTTAACCACCTGAACTGTGTCAAGTGTTGTAATTTATCACCTATCTCTAACTCCATTAAAATTTCCGTTACATTAATAATTTTTAAGGGCATTTTTGTCAATTTACTATAATATGTAAATTTAAAAATTGTAAACTAACACAATTATGTTTTTTTTTAAAACCTAAGTATCCAAAGACTTCTCCCACTCCCCTTGAACATATGTTGGTCTTTTTTTTCGTCCTTCTTTCCTTTTCGCCGTTTGTGGGGCCGGCTCTACTCTGAGGAGCGAAGAGGATTGTTGGATCAACACCAATGCCCCGATCGGATGGTGTCTCTTGGCTCGCAAAGAGGACTCCTTCAATTTCTGAACAAAATTGAAAGTTGAATCAGTTTGCCAAAAGTGGATGAGCCTGGTCAAGGCCCTATCTGTCAACTTTTTCTCAGTACTGATCCTTGTTGCGTAGGCGTGCCACTATTGAGTATATAACTAGCCCAATAAATTTGGTATGGATGTTTGTGAATGACTAATACTGAGGGAATTCACGCCTTTTTTATGGACTTCTTACCAAGCCATTGTGCTCCAGGGGAGGTACTGGCCTAGATTGATTCTTTTCTATGCCTTAATTAAGAGGACTTCAATATTCTTTCCTTCGTGAACGTCCACCTGACAAGTATGAGCAATACCTGTATAGGTAAAAGAAAAAGACCGAGTTCATGGTTAGCAATACCTAGCCTGGTTTTTATTAACATGCTTCAATATTTTCTTGTTCTCAGGCTGGATTAACAATTAATTTGGGCCCAACTTAACTTCCTATCCCTTTTTCTTTTACTGTTTCTTTCGGGCCCCTGTTCCCTTTTGGGCCTGAATGCTAGATTTTATGGGCTTTCAAAACTAGGGGGCAAGGGTGAGAATCCACTTTTATATATTAGAATAATATGTGATCCGTTTTTAGATAATTAAGTGAATTTTACATGTATAGATCCTTATGTAACTTATATTTATTCTGAGTTCAAATTAAATAACAAAAGATTCTTCAATTAATTTGCCAATTATCCTTGAATTCATATTACAATGTAAAGAAAAAGATACCAGAGATTTCTCAATCTAGTCAAACGATTACATGAACTGAAACAAAATACTTCTTAAAAGAAAATCATACCATGGATATGGCAGAGCTACGAGAGATAAGCGTAGGAGTTGTCAACTGGTTATCTAAAGAAAAAGTAGGCAGATTGTTATCTTGAGAGTTTTTCAAGTATTTTTTGAGACGTTGCGTCTGGTTTTGGAGAGAGAGTCCCCTTCTTTTGAAGTAGACTTTCTTTATTTATAGAGGTGGAGGGAGCCCGTAATGATGGAAATTGCGATAAGACCTTTGGCTTGTGGTTCAAGGTTAGCTGCTAGTTTGCTGATCTTAACCGGTTCATAGAGGGGATGATGAAGGACTTTTGGCAGGAACTGTCGGTTTTCTTTGTGGAGCTCTCTTGATTTGACTTCTTTGTACTTGAAAACCTGTCTGGCAATTTTGATCTTTTCTGGTTTTGGAGGCTTCAGTACGATTTGTTTTCTTGTTGGGAGAGAAGGAGGTCAAGTCGTCATTAAATGTGATAATCCTCTTCGGCCTCCCATGTGGGCTTAGAAAACACGCTTATCGATTTTTTAACTTGTAGTGGGAGATAAAGGCCTGACTCTTATGATTTGGGTCTTTTTATTGATTCACTCAAAGAGGCCTAGTTGGGAAAAAGGATAACCCTCTAAGAAAAGACAAATGTTAATGGGCCCAGCTTTATCTTTAATATATTCTCTTAAAACTTGAGACCATTTTTGGTCCGTTTACCAAAATTGGGTACAAACAACACCAATTCTCTGCCACCTCTGCATACACCCTCCAAATCCATCTCCTAGCTCTCCAATTTTCTAAAAAGTTCATCTCCTGCAGTAGCCAAGTTGCAATTGATTTCTATGTAGTAGCACTGCTTATATTCTTGAAAAAAGTTAGATGATGAACAATATATTGTGAAAAGGAAAAAGACGAAAAATTTAGGGAGAGAGAAATGAAAGAGAGTGGAGAGCTTGTGAAGAAAAGGAGAAGTAAATAGGAGAGGGTCTCGTGATAGGGACTAATCCATCATCGAACACTATTTGTGATTTTTGATGTTGCTTGGTTTGGCTTTGCTTTGTATGAACTGAGCATGAGAGAGAGAAAGAGATATAGATTTTATTTATTTATTTATTTTGGCCGAAAGTTTGGAAGTTTTATTAATTCAAGTCAATAATAACATCAAGAGCTAAAACACTACGGAGCCACGCTCGTCGCTCCTTATTTTATCAAAAATAGTCAAAATTTACCCCTTATTTTCATAAATGTCAGTTTTTAAAAAAACTTTCAAAGTTAGCAAAAAACTCACCTAAATAGACTCAAATGCCCTCAAAACTAAAACCCACGTAAACCTAAAAACATAAAACCTGCAATCTTTTTTTTCATTTGATTTCCAACGTATAATCTCCCCCATGTTTCGATCAATGTTATATCATTGGGGGACTTGAACCATAAAGCTTCCCTACAGTGCCCCCAAGCCTATATATCTTTCACTGAGTTGCATAGCAGTACAACAACTGGTACAAGTATAAGTCATTTGAATCATGATCACCTGTCATCATATGTTTGCTCAAAGGCCTGTGTTTGATGATGCGCTTCTAATTGCTTCGATGGTACCTTCCTGTTCCAATGATATAACATTGATCGAAACATATGGGAGTTTACAGGTTGGAAATCATATTCATGGTTTAGTCCTCCAATGATATAACATTGATTGAAACTTTGTTTTTATTTTCGAAATCAAATTGAAAACAGAGATGCAGGCTTTGCCTTAGATTGATGTGGGCTTTAGTTTTAAGGGCATTTGAGTATTTTTAAGTGAGCTTTTTGCTATTTTTGAAAGTTTTTGTAAAAATTGACATTTATGAAAGTAGGGGGGTAAATTTTGGCTATTTTTGATAAAAACTCCAGATTGGTCCCAAACATGAGAGCCCCTAACTCTAGAGAAATAAGCAGCCACTTCATGTGCTGCTTTGTTGCAAAGGCGTGGTATATGTCGAAACACCACCCGCTGAAAACCTCGAGCTAAAACTTGGATGTCAAAAAGGATACCTTCGATTTCTGCCACACTCTTGCAGTCACCTCTTATCATCCGAATAAACTCTTGAGAATCAGACTCAACTTCTAAGCTCAAGAACCCATTATGCAGACAAAAACCCAACATATCTCATATACAAAACGTTGAGAGAGATAGATATGGAGTAGGGTATTTGCAAAGGGTGGATGAGAGATGGGATACTGGGCAGTGGGGTGTGTTTGGAAGTGGGGTAGGGGAAGCCGTGGATAATTAGGTTTTGTTTTGTTTGTTTGTTTTATAAATATGTTAGTTTTAAAATTTAATTTTTTTAAATTATAATAAATTGATGGATAATAATATTTAAAAACTTGATTTAACGGAAATTTTAACAGAGTTAGATTTATGTGGTAAATTACAACACTTTACTTTTTTTTCAGGTGGCAGTTATGCAAATTTCTCTAATAACAATTAGATTGGGAATTGATGTAGCCCATTGACAATTGTTCCACTAAGCAAACGTACTTAATGATTAGTCAACTTATTATTTTAACAGAATTTCTAAATTTTTTTTCTTCCAATTCTCGTTTTGTATAAACCTGATTATTTGCTTATTTGTGTTATAAAACAAAGAGGAATTGTAGACAGCAATAAGAGGAAAAGAAATACAGAGAATTTATTCTATGACCTTGTATCAACATATCATATTCATCTTTGATAAGTGCCTATTTATAAGCTTACAATAGAGGTATTTAACCTACAATTTATAGCTACTAATTACAATAATAAGGGCATAGGTTACAAAGCAATTAAGGGTGGAGGTAATGGATATTATGGTGGTCATCCACATTCCATGCATTTACAATACTCCCCCTTGCATGTCCACCATACAATGATATAGTTCCCTCATTAAAAACCTTGCTTGGAAAACCCAGTGGGACAAAACCAAAGCGAAGGGAAAAAGAGTGAAACTTTCTTTTGGATCATTGATATGGTGTTGGATACGCTTATGTTGCCTCGTTAAAACCTTGCTATGAAAAACCCAGTTGGACAAAAACCTAGTCGAAGGGAAATAGAGTACAACGCGCATATGTCTTGTATGTAGTAGAATTGGGATGCTCCCCCTGATTAATATCTCCTATTCTCTGATTTGAGCAATACAAGCAACATTGTCTTCATACATGATCGTCTATCACACTATTCGACCTGCTTTTCACTTTTCAAATGATTGAAATCTTTAGAGCATCAACAACTAATTTAATAGTTAGAATATGTTACAAGAATATCAAATTTGAATTCAAAATACTCAAACTCTTAGTGTTAACTCTTAATTAAGAACATTGTGGTACTTTATATCCTTCAAGGGGTCACTTCATCCGATATATCTCAAATATTTTATGAGCTTTGAGGATTTCCATGTACCATATAGTCTTAATAAATATGCATTTAACACATGTTATAAGTTTCGTGTTAAAATAACAACTGCACTTATAGAAATGTGGATGCATCTATGATGAGATGAGAGACTAAAACCATGTCTCTACCAGGAAACCTTATGTCATATTAATGATCTTATTTCACTTCACAAACACCAATTCGTAACCTTCATACTTAACATTTGTAATTCGGTGTTTGAGCTATAGGTTCAATATCCCACACTTCATATTTAGTGATAAATGGAATTGCCTATTTCCATTTTTGGCCAATCACTTAATTTGTCGACATTCATAAGGCGATTTAATATAATCATAGCCATTGATGATTGTAGTAGCTACCAATAAACCAAATGTATCATCAATTCATGATCCTACAATTCTCATATGCATGCGCATGCATAATTCATAAGCATCTCATTGCTTTGGGGTACCAATGCCTCTTCTGGGGCTGATGTTGTCACTTATGGGACAAACATTTCTTTTACGATGAATTAATTAGAATATGTGGATCATAACCTCAGGCGTTATTTTTTATAGGGCTTGAATTGTTCAAATAATCTCCACTTCTAGGGAGTTAAGTTTTTAGAACCTATATTTTTGTCATGCTCACAGTCACTTATTGTCATGTTAATGGATTGTGATATATGAATATCAATCCATACTTGCATATTCATAACTTTATATATGCATTATCTTGATGAGACAAAAGCGGACCAATTCAACACTATTTCACGACATTTTTCAGGAACTGTCATTTTTGCCCCTAACGGCGGGAAAATTGTCTCAAAATGTAGGAAGATAAACTCACTGTCATTATCAAATATGTGACCATTTTAGTAGGCACATTCAGTAAAACTAGTGAAATGATTCATAATTAAATGTTGTATAGGCTCACAAATATCCCCTTGAATTAGGGCTCAAAGTCAATTTTTGACTTAGATGATCTTATGACAGCTTTTATTTGTGAGCATTCTTTGTAATGATATTTGTTGGACAAGACAATATTTTGAGTCTTTAAACGATGTCC